AAAAAATACACTTAATTATTTTTAAACATATCATTTTTAGTAATTTAATATTAAATAATAACCGCTAACTATTGTATAGTTAAACAGTTATATCTATCGAATTCACTATCTATTATCTACTATCTACTATCTACTATCTACTATCTACTATCCACTCCTTACTTTTAGCTATCTGCGATTTGCTAACCACCACCTGATACCCGCTACCACTTTTCGCTATCCACTACCTATTATCCATTGAATTTTAACCATTACACCAAACATGCCCTTACTGTGAAATCGAAAACTATTAACCATGTAACCTTTGTATCTTCTAGCCTTATTGTTTGGCCCATGAGCAAGCCATTTGATTCGGTCTATGATTTTAGCACTTCCTTTCTTTAACAAGTGATTAACCTATTTATTATGTAATAAATTTGTTTGAAAATAGTAATAGCATAAATTGATTAATTACAAATTATATGCTACTTATTTGTTCTTCAAACCAAAAATTAAAGGTTTGGCTATGAATTTTGTCGATCTCATGATGCTTTAGTCAATGAGAGTGCCTTTGTCTCATAATCATCTCCTTGTGACACCTACATGCAAATTTCAATAAAGGATAAGTATGATATATACCAACTAATTATACATTGAAGAGAGAACAAAGACTAGCTTTAGAAATGGAGCAATTTCCTCACTGTTGAACAACACATATCTATTTGCTTATATATATGTCTAGTTATCTAATTCAATTCAAAAAGCCCTTTTTTGCTTCTTCACTTGGAAGCCTTGTTTACCCTTTCTCCCTAGTGCTCTCCTATTTTCATGATCATCATCGTTGTGTAATAATTGATTGAACTTAGTCTCAGCCACCAAGAGATACCTTGAACAAAATGTTAGGCACTCTTAAGCTAAATAACCTTCTACAATGTAACCTTTTGGGTACCTTGGAATACGTACATAAGACTTTAATGTGAAAAGGTTTCTACTCAAATATGAATTATTATAAATATATTTGAAAATAAACCAATAAATGTGAGTTCTTTTTCTATTAATCAAAAGAACTATATAAGTCTACTGCAATCTACAAACAACCATCAATTGCAATTCCATCCAAAAAGGAAAAGTCAGTTAAGAACAACTACAGCATTACATGGTAATTGTTAGTGTAGGTAAGGAGATTAGAACTTACACCCATAAATTGACGGAAGCATAATAAGATCAACAATGGGCCAATCAAATAATAATAATAATAACAATAATAATAATAATGGGTGATAATAAAAATATATTTATGCAAACACAATTCAAACTAATAAGACTAATATAAAAGAAATAAAGATGTTACACATCATAAAAAAACATTTCATTCATTATCTCATCTAACAACAAAAAAAATCATCATTCATCACCAAAAGTGAGGCTAAAACTAGCAAACAAGTAACAAGAATCTTATAGACAAAAAGCAAGGGCCAAGGATTTCAGTTGTCCTATAGAAGGAAAAGAGAAACACAAGGGAAAGTTCAATTTTAAAAGTCAACAAGTGAAATAAAACACTAGACCAAATAATCCTTTGTAAAATAATTTTAGAATCAATTAGGTAAAAAATTTCATGAACATGTAAAAGCATTGCAAAGTAGTTTAGCCATAGATGATAAATAAAACATAACATCTTAATCAAAATTTCAAATTATTGATTAAGAATACCTATGTAATACCCCAAAAATTTCAAGCATATTAAGTTGAGTTAGGGACTTAATGATGAAGAAACATTATTAATGGACCTAATTGTCAATTTTTCAAACTTCAAAGGGGTTAAATTCTTATTGGATAAGGCCGGCTG